TATTTCATTTTGCTTTTTATTTTTCCTGTGGGTTTCTTCTGTAAACGAAACAGTGTGACACTTAAGCCTGTGTCTGATCCATGTCACTTACCATGGTCTCAAGGTGGGTCTTTTCCCACAAATGATTCCAGTTTATCCTTCTTTACGGAAGAGCAGCGCTCCACTGTGTGCAAATACCATGTTCTCTTCTTGCATTCTTCTGTTCGTGGAGCTAGAGGCCATTTCCAAGGGTGGGCTGTTACGAGTTACACTCATTTTCTGTTTCCTGCGTGGCTTGTCTCCTCCGTCACTGCCCAGGGGACTCTGGGGAGTCGTGGGAGTGTGCAGACCCCAGGCTCAGCTGCTTCTCCAGGGGTGCGGAAAGGGGCTGTGTCGGGGGCCGGAGCCCTGAGCTCCCATGTGCCCGGAGCAGAGCCCGAGCGGGGTGCTCATCCGCTTTCTGCTACAGCAGCAGACTGCAGTGGTGGAGGGTGAGTTTGGGGTGACCTGAGAGGCAGCGGCCTTCCTTCCTGGCCACCAGTGGTGCCCTCATGCTCTCTGTGGTCCTGTCCCTTTGCGTGTCCAGGGAGGACCTAGGACCCATTTCTAACAGAGAAGGGCACGGGAGGGACGGGGCATCTGACATCTGTGTTGTTGGCTCACCCTTTGGCTCCCACTGGCTCCTCCCATAGAGCCAGTTGCCATGGGGACAGCTGGTGACCTAGGTGGTGACCAATAGCTGTCTGTTACTTGGTGTATTTCACTGGTTAAGAGTAAATTTCAGGTCCATCCAGCTAAAAAAGAGAACTATTGCAGGAGGTGGGAATCGTAAGGCCGTCCCAAGAGCCAGCCCGCTACAGTGAGAGAATACTCTTGTTTTCTATCATCTCTGTCTTGTCTGTCCACTCTGTGGCGGATTTGACACCTGGTGGCCCACTTATAATACAAGATCCAGCTGAACTGAACCGGGGTGGTGCAGGTGTGGGAGGCTGTCTTGGTTACTTTTCTCTCATTGTTGGGACAAAATACCCAATGTCCACAATGAAGGAAGGGCAGGATTATTTGGCTCGCAGATAGTGGAGGTTTCAGTCCATACTCGGCTGGCTCCGAGGCAGAGCAGCGCATGGCAGAGGGCCGCCGTCCATGGTGGTGGCAAAGAGCAAAGAATGAAGAGAGCAGCAGCTGCAGCAGCTCGCAAGGCGCTTTCCCTTCTGTGATGAGT